AATAAACAAACAAAAAGGAGCAATGACTTTTATCTGTGACGGGACACTACAGTACTCATCACCAAAACACATTAAAGCTGCTCCAGAACCTATTTTCAGACACTTCTTTTGAAATGGGGTCAGCTGCACATTTGAGATCGCGGCTCTGAGAGCTGCCCTCTGGTAGAAACTTGCCAGCGAGTGTCTCTGCTGGACGCGGTCCCAGGCCAGCTAAGTCCGAGGAGATGCGCACGCCTCGCATGAGTGGACGGGATGGAGGCTTTTTAGAGGATGCAGAGATTTTGAAGCGCTAGTTGGGCTTTTAAAGGAAGTAGGATTTTTTCCCAAAGTTTTTCTAAGTGCTATAGATTTTATAAGTTGGTCTTGAGTAATCTTTTCTTTGCTTAAATAATTCAGAGTATTTTATTTGTGCTTTGTTTTAGACCTACTTAAAAAAAATTAAGTAAGTTTAGGACTAAAAAGTTTGAGTATATTGAACATGACACAAGAATAAGTAAAGTTATGTACAAATAAATTAAATAAGAGCAGCAAAGTATATTTACATATTTAAAGGGGCAATATTCTATATTTTCCAGACACGTGCTATAAAATGGCACTATCAAGTAACCTTTAGTTGTTGTTAGAACGCTATATGCATTAAACATGAACGAGAAACAAGAAAAATGGAAAACAAAAAAAAAAGGTACAGCTAGCTACCTTTGGCCATTGATGCAGTTCAAAGTATCACCACATGACATAACCATTGGTGTACTGAACTGCCTTTTCATAATCTCTATGGTTGACAGTAATAACAACATTGTAAAGAGAGAACCCATCATTTAGCTTCTGTTTTACGACATCTTCCTTTACCAGTCCTAATGCTGAAAATCAGCCAAGGCAATCATAACGCACGCTTATTTAGATTTGTTCGCAGTTTGCCTGAAAAATAGATCTACTTTATGGAGACTGATTTTGTGGGGAGAAAAAATATTTTAAATAAATAAATAAATAAACAAAAAGGAGCAATGACTTTTATCTGTGATGGGGCACAACAGTACTCATCACCAAAACACATTAAACCTGCTCCAGAACCTATTTTCAGACACTTTACTTTTTTCATGTATTAAACATGAAAGAGATTTGATTTTGTAATTTAACAACTTGAAATTGAACCTCTGTCTCTTTAAGAAGCTCCTACTCTTTCAGAAACTCTGCCTTCAGAAAGTCATCACAACATGGTTCCTCTTTTAACCCTTTAACAATGTTTTTTCCAGCATTTCACTAAGAGGTAGCTCCTATAATGAGCTCAGCTAGAGCACAGTTCCACCAGGTATTTGCTAATTGCTGCTGGCTAGTCTGAAGGAGTTGAGTGAGGGAGTGAATCAAAGCGACACTGTTTGTTTTTGATGAGTGAATAACATTACAACATAATAAAGCTTGAAAAAGTTGCTTTACATAATACATAAGGAGTATTAACTTAATTTTAAACTTTTCAGCAGTAGCATCATCTGATAAATTACTACTTGTGTTAACATAACATGCAAAAGTGCCCTGCAAAAATATTCACACCCTTCAAATGTGTATTATATACATGCATACAAAAAATGTATAGTATACATGCATACAAAAAATGTATAGTATACATGCATACAAAAAATGGAACAAAATACAGTTTTTGCTTTCAGCCGCTTCAACTTTTTGTCAACAGAGTGTGTTTTGACTGTGGCTTAAATTACAGATGAACTATATATTGAAGCTAAGAAGAGCTGATATTTGGTAGACTGGAATGTTACAGATTCTGTGCATGCAAAATACATGCAACTTCCACTTTTGCCTGAAATCTAAATTATAACACTCTGTGAGACATTGTGATGACGGAAGTCAGAAGTGTTCCTGTCAAACTCACAAAAAGAAATCTCGTCTGACCATTCATAAGAAGTAGAGATGGCAGTATCCTACATAGTTCATCACACAAACCAGTTCTTCAGGAACATATGGGTTATGTTTGTTTTTCATACTATGATACGATGAGGTCTGTAGTTGTAACTGGCCTGTTGCAATGACATATTTTATTGGATGATAAATTGGCCCAGAAGTTATTGCGATAAATGATAGTATTATTGTTTTGAGACCATTTTTAATCAATATAATGATAATGGCAAAATAATGCAATAACACATTTTTAAATTGTCATTCACACTTAACATTCTAAATATCCAAAATAAATCAAATACTTATGAAATCTCTTTAAACTAACTCGTCCATCAAAATAAAAGGTTGAGGCCAAAAGAAACGTTGAGAACAAAACACCAGTTTCTACCAGTTTTTGGTATTCATTTATTATGCGATTGGTTTATTGGGACAGGTCTGGTTGTAACACAAGACAATTTAAAGGGACACTGACACTCTAAAAAAGTTTCCTACTATTTACATTTTTGTCTGAAGCAAAAATTCACCAGAATGTTCTTTAATCAGGTTGTGATGAGCATAAAAAGGCAGAGAATTTAAGAAAAAGCACTATTCTGGTGTCCTGTTTATAATAACTTAGCTAACACGGAGCCGAACGCTGAAGCTAAGCTTACAGCGACAGTGATTCCGACACATGCAACCAGAGGCTCGACAATCTGGCCTGCTACCGGGAAACACAGAGCCAGCGAAGCCTTCCGACTGTGTCGTCACTAAACAGCAGGTTTATCTACCTGTACTGCATCACTTCTCATAGTTCACATGCATAACTCGCTGCCAAAAAGAAGCTTCTCCTCTGAGGACGGAGCCAAATAAAATAAAAAAAAGAATAAAAAATGATGAGTTTCTCCCGCAGAGAGAAACAAAGCTGCGGACAGAGAGACTTCTCCTCATCCCTCCAACAGCTGACATACTTAGACAGTGGGTTTAGTGGCAGGCAGCCAAGCTGGACTCCCTCATTCTTTGGGATGAGATAAGCTGTGAGCTACTTTCAAGATGTTTGAAAACTACCAGCACTCTTTACCTCCTAGCCTCAGCATGAATAAAGTAGTTTACTGACGGGGGATGCACTAAGGCTGGGCGATGGGGCGGAAAAATACAATACAATTTTTAAAATCTTCTCACTTTCCCCGCCCCCATTTATAAAAATTTACAAATGACTGAAGATATTGTGAAAAAAGCTGGTTATCTCAATTATTCCTTCTGTGAGCTGATCTAAATTCGAAGCACAAAAAAATAAACAGAAGCCAGAAAACATGCTTTTCAAGAAATATGGTGGTTCTCTAGAGTTAAAACCCCAAAAGTGCACAAGTGAATAACAAAATCTGATTTTCCTAAAACTGTATATTCAAAAACAAAATGTAAAATTAATCACTAAAACTGATTTATCGCCCCAGCTTGTGATGTGCAGTTTAAACCGTCAGAGGTCAGATATGATCTGATACAAAAAAAAAAAGTTTTCTAATTGTATGACAGATGAAACAAACTCAATCATCTCCATTTGCTTGATTTATTGTTTTTCTCTTTTCTTTCTACCAAAAACTGGATGACAAAACTCTTCAGTCTTGTGCTTTGGTCTCAACCAGCAACTTTCTTTTAAAAACAATTTTATTTTACAGAGACTTCATAATTTATTTTATCTATTTGTTTCTGTGCAAATGTCTTCCAGTTCCAGTGTGGAATGTTCACTGGAATTTAAAGTGTATTGATCTTTGAGAATGTGATCTTGTACTGTTATGCTGTTATACTTGAAAACAGCGTGAAACACAACAATATTATCATTTATCGCAATAACTTCTGGGACAATTTATCGTCCTGCAAAATTAGTTACGGTCATAGGCCTACCTATATTCACTTCATTCATTACCTGCAATATTGTAAAGATATGCAACAGTTTTATTTAGTTGTTTTTTAGTATTATTATTTTGAAAAATCAACATTTTGATTTCCTATACAAATTCTATCAATTAAACAGTTGAACTTTAAAAATGGGACCTGAAATCCCTGCATGCGGTTTAAACCCTCAGATATTGGCAACAAAATATCTGATCGGTGCATTTCAAGCAGAAAACAAACAAATAAATAAATAAATAACACTTTCACTGCCACAAGACTCCCGGGCGTGACGTTTAAAACACTCAGAGAACCCCAGCAGGGTTCATTCAGTAAACAAGACGTTTAAAGCGGTCTGGCTGTCTTCCTGTGTTTACCTCGATCAAGTGAGCCAACAGACAGTAATCTGACCAAAGACGTCCCACAAAAACAAGATATCACACACAATACACTCAGACGCATTATCACACTTTACAAAAAATAAATAAATATATATACATCCCGCGTGTTAAGACTATGAGTCACGACTTAAAGCTGCCTGCCTGCCCGGCGGGTTCGCCAGTGTCGTTTTCAAACGTATGTTTCGGTACGAAGGAGGCGGACTGCAACACCCAACCCGAACCCTACTGCTCCACGAACTTCGCAGCGCGTAAACCCCCGTGTTGTTGTTTGTTGTTGTTTTGTTGTTGTTTTTTCCGGTCAACGTTTGGGACGACGGGCGTCACACAAGCGAACCGTGTGACAGTGTGTGAAAGCAAGTCGTGACAGCTCATGCGCTGCTGGGGTGACCGCATATTTTAGTCGAGGACGCATCCATTCGTTTGCACTGACAGACCTTCCTCCCCCGCCCCCTCTCCTCTTCCTCTCGAAGTTATTCAGGTAACTTGAGAGTCGTTGGCTAATTACCAGAATGAGGATGGAACCAACCGAAAAAAAAAACGAAAAAAAAAAACCTGCCACCTTCACCGGTCACTTTCAGGCGACAACACGTTTCGAGAGTAGTGGAAATATTTACAGCTTCTTCTTTTCTGCCCCCTCCACCTCATTCTGTCCAACACTCGAGTGAGCAAGGGAAGCAAATGCCCTGAAATTCGGGAGCTAAAGTAGCTGCGTGTGCCGCATTCAGAGAGGCTAGCGGTGCTTAGCTCGGCGAAGCTAACGCAAGCTTTCGCCGGGCATGATAGTCCCGGCGGGACTCTTTACGTATTTTTACTTTCGCTTACCTGTGACCACCTCTGCGACCTGCAAGCCGTCCCCTGAAGCCGTCACCTATGAACCGCGAGCCGTGCCGAGTCCAAAAAATAATAATAATTCAAATTCCACAGAAAGTCTCGGAGAAGCCCTCGCAGTCCAATCGCTTCAGCCACCGCCGCTGAATGGGTGCTACGCAGAGACTCAACCAAACCTCCTCCTTAGCAACGGCCCTCCTCCGCGTGACCTCATTGGACCGCGCTCGCGCAGCTCTGAGGTGATCGATAGTCGGTAGTACTGGAGGCTGGGTCACGCTCTCCGTGGTGCAATGAGGATGGAGACGCTGGGAAACGACTGATTGCAGGAAGAAGTGCGGGCTCTTTCAGGTGACTAATGCGTTCCTCTGACGTGTCTGTGTGACTGATCTGACTCTTCCTGCACAAAGTTGGGGTGTGGACCGGGCTTTGAAACACAACAATGTCACACGGTCAGCCATTCCTGTTTTGTATAATAGTTTTAAAAATGATCTTTCATTAAAAACCAGGGCATTTCTGATATTTTTCTCCTGAGACGAGGATCGTCTCAAAAGACAATGCAGCAGTGCAAGCCTTCAACTTTGGAAACAGAAATGTAAGTTTTTATTTAACGTGGCATGTTAGAGGAAAGGAAATATTACTGCCCCCCAAAAAGGGACCATTGAAAGTTGGAAGGGTCAGCACTTCAGTAGTAATAGGTAAAGTGGTATAAGCATAGCAAAAATGAGTGCAGCTTCTTAAGGTCGTCATAGAAACAGCTAAATCCACTCATATATTTGGGAATCTACAACCTTAAACCTGACAAGCCCATTGTCATTCTAATTAGGCGCTTCCAAATTTCATGCCTGTAGGTGAGGGTTCAAACGCAAACATGAAACTTTCTGGAAATTTAACCTGAACCATGCCTCATCTAGAGGCATTTTTGCCTCTAGATGAGGCAAAAATGTAACTTTGCAGTAACAAGCACTCCATGTGGCGAGGAAGAAAAGGCTGAATAAACCCCACTTTAATCCCCATTTTGAGTGTGATAAAAGATCTGGGACGGTATTGCTGTGTTTCTCTCTCAAACACCCGAAGAACCTTATTAGAGTGCACGGCACTTCTTTTTCTGTCCCCGTTCCCATTTTAAAAATCATGCAGATTCTCCTGGTCGACTGAAAATGGATCTTCGTTGCATCATTCAGCAAGAAAAAGATCAAAACGTATGGTCAGGAGAGCAGAAACCAAATAACAAAGTTAAGCGAAACTGCCTGTAGATTTCCAAGAAGTTGTGTCAAAGCACAAAGCTGATAAAGAGTACCAGAATAATCACCGGCACTGAACATCCAACCAACCAGAGTAATCGAAGAGTAATCAACATTCCTCTGTCAGAGAGATGACACACACACAAAAAAAACTCCCTAACCCTAACACTACTGTTTCCATGAGGAGATGTAAGATCCACCTGGAAGGTCAACTCTTGCTAATATTCACCACCAATCAGAGCTTTATGGCATGGTGCCAAGATAGGCATTACGAACATTTGAATTCTGAATAAAATGAGCACCTGGAGAAAGACGCTCATCTACTGCAATGAAACGTAAACGGAACATCGACACAGCCATAACCCTGACTGAATCTGAAAGAATCTGAATACGAGGATGGGGGAAAACAACCCAAAACAGGAGCAGTTGTTCATTGCGGTGTACAGCAAAACCTTTGTGTACATTTTTGGTTTTGCTTTTGTCTTTAGAGAAAAATAATGTAGTTCATTTTTGAGTAGGACTACACCATCACCAAATATGGAAAAAGTGATGCGCTGTGATTACTAATCACTGTGATTATACTTTCCAGATGTACTGTAAATGGTTATGCAAAGCTTCTTCTTTTTTTTTCCTTAGATCTTGATTCATGTTTCACAAACAGCATTAGTTTAAGGCTTTAAATAGACCAATCATTGCTCATTGATGACATATGATGACGTTGGTATATTTCTGTGCTGCAATCCAGCCTGATCAATGCAGAAGAAAATGAAATGTATCCACCTGATGTAAATTGTGAGTTCATTCGCAAAACTTCAGGAACTGTCCCCTCAAGTCTTCCAAATTCCAGACAGAGGTTTTAAACTATTTTTTTAAATTATTTACTTTATATATTTTTTCTCAACCAGGTTAAACCCCTCACCCCTTTTGCATTGTCCTCATCTTCTACCCAGTGTGCGTGCAACCCCTCCGCCCTGATGGTGATGATGGTGACACACTGGCCCCTCATAAAGGCCACAAGTTTATCAGCATTCCTCACATAGTTTTGAAGTCTACAAAGCTGCAGTGTAGCATATTTGGCGGCCGCAAAGGTTACAAAGTGAACAAAGGACACACACACAGAGAAAGAGAGAGAGAGAGATACAAACACACACAAACCAAGGCAACAAAGTTGTCAAGCCTGTTATGTTGACTGTCATGCAAATGTGTGTCAAAATACCTCAACAGCAAATCCTACTTCTCATTGTGAAATACCTACACTGTCTCTTCTTTTTATTGCCTTATTATTGCCTTAATCTCAATAAAGTGTATGCATTTTGGTTTGTGTGAAAAAGCCCATCCACCGAGTTTTCAAAGTGATGACAGTTTGTGCGGATGTGTATGAGAGAGAGAGGCGCCGTGCCTCTCTCTCTCATACACACACTTTATTTATTAGGATATTCTGCCCTCTTGTGGTCAACAATGGTAAGTTCAACAACAAGGATTGAAATTTACTGTAAAAATTAGCCTCAGCAAGAAATCATTAAAAAAAATTCAAATTTGTTTTTATGAGTGAACATCAAAAAAAAAAAAAAAAAAAAAAAATTATATAAAAAAGGTTCATGGATACTTTTACTAGAGAGATGCCACTATCTGGAAAACCACCATTCAGTGGTAACAGATGAGCCACAACTAATTTAATCCAGAATGGCTTCTCAACTATATATGGCTATAGCAACAATCCTGGAAAGGTCCAATTAAATAATAATAATAATAATAATAATCCTTTAATTACTTTTCTTGTCTGTGTTTTATTATTATTTTTGTTGTAATGGGTTTTCTGGCTGTAAGTGATATTATGGTTCTGTAGCGGTTCTGACTTGGGTCGCTGGAGGGAGATTGCGGTGATGGCATGGAGGACTTCCAACCCCACAGACTTGGAGCTTATCACCATGGAAGCCCATTTCTGCTACTCTGATGAAAATAAAAACAAAACCTCTTTCTCACAATTACAACTCAGCTATAATGAGATAACGAGGTACTATTAGAGTCAACCATCCTCTTCTTCTGCTTTAAATGTGCCAATAACCCATAAGTCTATGATAACATGGTTATAGTTTCTTCAGAATCGGATCCTTGTAGCTGCTGGATCATCCGTCGATTATTTTTGCTCGACCAAAGACGATGAATTGCTTTTGTAGACTTCCTTCATTTCCACAGGCTTAATTTGACATGATCCTTCCAAAGCTAACTCAAGATTACATCTCATAATTGAGAACCAAGGCTTTTTTTGTGTGTGGCAGGAAGAACATAAATGATCAAAATACTGGAAGTTCGGTCAATGATTTTAATTTTGATTCCTGTAAAGTTGATAACAATGTTTCCATTGAATATCAAAACACCGTTTCGATAATCGTGTCAGAGGCGATTAATTGCCTCGAGGAGACATTTTCAATGAGTCTTGGCCTCACTCTTGCTTGCTTTTTTTCCTTTTTCGTTCTAATAGAAGCACACGTCGCTTTAATGAAACATGCTAGATAAATAAACAAATAAATCATTTGGTATTGGCTCCCCTAAAAAACAAATTGGGAGCTGGCAAACCTTCCATGAATTCAGCCTGACCTTGCCGCCATTACTCATCCAGACGACAGATCACGGCGCAGCGGTTATTAAGAGTGTAATCAAATTCATAAACTCAGCCATTCATCATCTTATCGAGCCGCCCGCTTCACCAGCTGTTTCATCTTCACAATTTAATTTATATTTATTTATTTATTTGATGACAGTGGTTGTTTGGTCAGGGCACGTCTCCAAGGCTTCAGCCATCTTGTCTCCAGGAACCGGTCTGGGACTCGCTGCAGCTGATTTGGTATAGCACCAGGAATTAGTCGGTGACAGAAGAGTTTCCCCGCCAAGTCAGCAGGTCACTGCAGCCGAAACAATGTGCATAAAGCGCCACGGGACCAACATGTGTTCCTGAACCGCACCCAACTCCCTCTGTGTCTCAATTCTTCTGAATATTGACGGCAGGAGCTTTGAAATTACAAACAGGGGGATAAATCAGAGCGAGGCAGCCATTGCTCCTGGTGGAACCAAAAGAAAATGGAGACATAACTCCATTAATTATCTGGGAAGCTCTGATATTTAACAGTAAAAAGAAAAAAAAAATTAGATTAACCCCCAAACTCAATAAACGCACAAAAATTGTTCCAAGATCTTGAGAAAAAGCAACTATTGACTAATTTGGAACAAAGTAGTTCATTGTTGAGGCTAACTGATCAGACCAGATAAAGCAAACACAAAGCCAGTCTTAGTCTTTACGTACTTATCAAGAATGTTACCTTTAAAAAGTTTTTGTTCCTCTCCTTGTTTTTTTTTTTCAGAAAGTTTTCACCAATTAAAATGGTTGGGAGGGTTTATCTGTATCTAGCCCACTCTGCCATAGCACCCCTGAATCAAATCTAAGGTGACTCTGGAGGAGCTGCATTGATCCACAGCTCCTCCCACTAGTCAGGAACACCCCAAATATCGTCTGTTTTTTTAAAATTTCAGAATAGTCGTGCGTCATTTAGTGCGTTTCACTTTATGAAATGACTGGGAAGAAATTTTGCACTTTATTGCAACATTTTTGTTTTCTTAAAATTGTACTGGCATAACAGGACACTGCAGAAATGTCCGGCTTATGCGTGGAAGAAAGCTGAAGAGGGGAGCCGCACAGCGGAACATGGCGGTGGCAGCATCATGCTGTGGGGATGCCGGTCTTAGACAGAGACATGGAGGAAAGCGAGAATATGTTAGATGTGGTACTTGCAAAAAAATAAAAAATAATTAATAAAAAAAATTAAAAATACAGCACACGATTGTGATTTTGTTTTTTTTAATATTAACAGTATAATTATGCAGCAAAGGAACTTATTTTACAAACGGCTCCAATGCTGCTGTCTCTTTAGCCACGTTTTCATTTTAAAACCACATATAGATTACTTTACACAAAAAAACAATAACCTGCTTCAGATATTTACAGAATTTTTTTATTGTTTTATTTAATAGAGACAGAACCAAAGAGAGA